TCGTTACCGTTTGACTTTGACCCCTATATTCTCCCTCTTTTCGACGCTCATGGATGGTATCCCCATCTTTGAGCTCCGCTACTGATTAAATCCAGATGATACGAATGTGGAGTACAGAGGAAGCCGTGAATTAGGTATCAGGTACGCGAACATTACGCGCGAAGAGAGTTACCTAGAGAATCATCGCAGGGCGCCGCGGCGCCTCGCACCCACGTGCCTCCTTCGGCCAGGTCGACGTTTGACGTCAGCCTTTACTTCACGAGAACGCTTAAGTCATCGGATTTCGGGGCCGTTCTCCCGCTTAAATACCACGGATCCCCGTGGTTAATGAATGTCACTAGGTGTGTTAGCTTTCTGCCGTTCAACGTTCTAGTTAGGAAGTTTGTTAAAGCGACTCGCCGCCACTGCCACGGTTTACAAATTAAGCACGCTTTTGGCCAGGGACAACTTTAAACCCGGTTCCTTGTTAGGGACGCCATTTCGGTGACTTCGTTCCTACGAAATCCTGACGAAAGGATTAAACTGTCTACGACGGTAGTTTCGAGACGTAGGAGTACGAAGTACGACCGAGCCTCCGAGTAATGAGTAATCCTCGTAAACTTTTTTATGTCAGCTAGCATAATTAAATGCTTGATTTGATTGAATTCTAATTTCTCTGAAATCATATCGGCGATTAAATATCATTTAACGTTGGGATCACAGATATACATATATGTATTTTTTATGTTCATGTTTTTTTTATCGTACTGCGAGGTTTATGTAATTAAATAATGATAGGTTTCATGTATTTACGTATTGATTTATGTCTTCTTTTTTGAAGACATTTTATTAAGAACGCATTTTGATAATGTACGCAGTAACGCAGAGCATGGCGTGATCCACTTTACTTATATGCAGTTTATTAACTCTTCCGGTTTAAAGTTCGATTCGCAAGCGCTCGTAGCATAACTCGCCAAATAGATTTCACTTAAGATATATATAATAGTGCCAGCGGCCATTTGAAAGAATGGTGATTTTACTTTCATCGAGGAAGTCCTTCGACACTTGAATGCGTTCTAAGTAATTTATTATTACTGGCGAAAGTGGCAATAATTGGTTTAATTTTGTTTACAGAACACGTCTGCGTACAATGTGAAGGAGCAAAACGAGAGGCTGACCGATATCGAGGACATGGATTCGCCGGGTATGGGGATCAACGCGAGAACAGTCCCACCATTGTGTTACGGAAGGAACATGACGTTCCCGCGGCCGGCATCCTCCTGCACACACAGACACGAGCTTCCAGCGATAGTTACCGAGGGTGAAAGCTGTAGACTTTTTGCGGAGGTAAGTGACTCAATTAATTAAGGAATTTAATTCAACCACTTTAAGAAATTATTTCTTGTAATTAGCTGTTTCTTTTCTCACACGAGCACTAAAGTCTTTGATATCTTTACTATCTCCTTCCTAAACTTCGGAATATATTCGCGTTACTGTTAAAACTGTTACGAAAAATATTCTGTTAACGTAAAGTCTGCTGAAATGTGGATACAGAGTTAACGAACTCTATTACTTTATTTATTAAGTGCGTAATGCGACGTCACTCTCAGATTACGTGATTGTGAAGCATAATTCCTATTTTATTTCCTTATGATTATACTGCTGTTTTCTATTACTATACCGTTGGGCGGGCATCAAGCAGTCTACGTACATTTATCTTCCATGATTCAAGTTGAAAAACTTTGGTCGATGTGCATGGTAATTGCTGTTAATCAGCAAGAATTCTCTGTGCTTTTTTCTCGTAAGCAAAGTGGATTACGAAAATTAACATATCCGATGAGAAGATTAAACTTGTCGTCACTTCGGAATTACTAAAAAGTTGAACGTGTAGTAAAATCAGTGTATACTTCTCTGTGTTGCTCCAGCAACAAGAGAACAATTCATGTAGCGATGGACAACTGTCGGGGGTGATGCCGGACGTAGCGATGGCTACTGCGTCTTTCGGGGCGTTGCAACTGATAGAGGAACAGGAATTGGAGCTGGACTTAGGTGATGGCGCGTCCCATCTCCTTCAGCACGTTTCACCGTCGAGCGGTACGATGGGATCCCACAGGTCCTCGCTTCCTCACCCTCATCAGAGGCACTACAATGGACCGCCCCCACCGCCGTACATGTACCATCGAGCTGGCACTGCCTTACCGAGATTTATTTAAGATTTCTACGAAATTAAGGACTCATGTGGCAATTATATCATTCTTAAAACGGGGAGCGTTCACTTCGAACGAACGGAACGGAATCACCAGGTGTACTCTTCCTGTACTGCCATAAGTGGTTTGCTTTATCATTGATCAACCCTTTCACTATGGTATTTTCGACTTCGTTAACAGAAATGTACGTAAGTTTACGTACTCTGCGTAATGAATTATGAAATAATCTTTGCAGTTGCAGTTAACGAATTTAGGCGATTAAAAGATTTGAGCATGTCTTTATTAAACAGGTAATTGATTTTTGAGGGCGTATGCATGCGCTCTTCGTAGCGAAAGGGTTAAACAAACAGACGATTCTTTAGATCGAGAAGATTTTAATAAAATCAGATGAATTTAAAGAGTGCATATTTTCAGTAAATTTTCGAGCTTTTTGCTACTGTGCACGATGTTCTTAAAAAGAATTCGTGAGGGTGTAGAATTTTAGTTCGTTTAGGGAAACATTAATTTATTTAAAATAATATTGAAACGTGTAAAAATTATAAGTACTTTTTCGGAACGTCTTGCATGGTTGCAAAATATGCATTGAAATAGAATATCCCAAAATGATTTAGCTGCATTTTATTATAATCTTCGAGCACCAACTTCTTAGACTTTTTACCGAGAAGCTTTGTGAAAAATAGTACAGATCAAAGTAATTTAGACTTGAGCCGGCTAACGCAGACGCGTTCTCCTGCACGAGGTGTTTATTTATGAATTACTTTGTAAAAGAACGCCTAAAAGGTGGACACTCGATGCAAGTTACACGCATAGTCGGCAATTCGGACTTAATTCATACAGTCAATCCTCCAGTTTCCATGGTGCAAATTGTATTATAAAAAAAGATTTTACTATTTTTGGCGATTCAGGCAAATTATTCTAATTACAATTATTTGCTTCGAAGAAAAATGGCCCCCATGGGTGCCGATCGCACAGAGTTTCGTTGATACCTCAAATGGCCAAATAAGACGCGGCACCTTATAGGTGCTCACTCAGGAACTGTGGGATTGTCAATCGATTAATTGAAATTAGAACATCTTTCGATGTTTCTGTGATACACGAAGACGTACTTCTCGTGGTTCTTGTCGAGTAAATAATATTTTGTTCTTGCGGGTACAAATTTAATGATACGACGAAGAAACGACGATCGTGTACGTACTGTGGTTTATTTAAGCGCAGCTTAAGAAACGCGTGCCCGCGCGCGCGCGTAGAGGACCCCTTTGGTTTTCAGGATATACATATATATATATTTATAATCGTATAAGCCGGACGTGGAAGACATACACACACACAAACACTTCAATCATGGAAAGTTCATGCTTGTTAGGTACAATCACATAATAAATAAATGTAATGTCTAGGTGCAGGTGCATGCGATGCAGCTGTGGTTCATATTACACATATACAATGAAACGTGCATATATATATACATATATATATACGTATATGCGTGATATAGGTTGGTGTGAATGTGCGTGCATGTAGGCGAGTGTGCGAGCTCTCTAAGTACCATATAAAGTGTTAATTAGACGATTACGTCGCCAACGTTTCACGAGTGACTGGATGAATGAAGAAAAGAAATTGTGAGTGTGGGTGGTATGAGTTCAAGTGAAATAGAGAGAAAATTGAAAACGGAGTACTGGAAGGAAGAATGAAGAGGAAGGAGAGCGTGATTATAGACTGTTAAGGTGAAGAGGAGAAAGAGCGAAGGCAGGTAATATATGATCAGTGTTTACGAACGGTAATAATTCTTTATTTAAAACGAAGCGTCGCTGTGGGTATGATCTTTGCTAATTCATATTACCTATGATATTCAATAAAAATTATTTAAATATTAGTAAACGCACTTTGTCTTCGAGCAGCGTACACGTTAAATTAACTATCGGATATTATTTTGTTGTGCGTCCAAATCGTCGGACGAGTTTTGCGTTTAGAGAGGCGCGCAGGTCTCTGAAATATTTTTCTCTTTTCGATCTTCGACGTTATTTAATATTTAAATCGTTATGATCGATCGTGAATTTAGTGTTCTCCGTTTGTTTGTACAGTGTTCCGAGTATAGTATCGTGTTCAAACGGTAGACAGAAATAAATAATTATCAATTGTTCTAGTAAATTATTTTTGCTTTCGTGCAACGAGATCGTTCGGTAGTCTTTCTTGTCAGGTGAAATAGAATGATTAATTGAAAAAAAAGCCTGCGCCTCCATTCTACGTAATTGTTCCGTAGATCGCGTTGGAGTGCTAAATTTTTTTCGCTGTAAGGTCCAAGCCGAGGAGTACAGGATTGAGGACGTGCAATGGCGAGCCGTCTTTCACAATACCGTGTAAGAAAATTGTTTCTCTCTTGTTAAACCGTTGAGGCTATTACATAAGTACGAGACATTAAACCGAGTAGAAATTTAACTCGCTTCCTTCTTGCTCCTTACGAGATAGAGTTAAACGTCGTTGACTCGCGGCTCACTCGTCATTGCATTCGTCGATTTCATTGTCCCGGGTGATGCGTATTTTCGTAGATAGTATCCGTCGTTCGTATCGAGTTTTGTTTACACTGTTGTTATTTTGTCTTTTACACCTATTTTCCATTCCGTAGCGAAGACTTTAAGCTTTGTATATGGTATTTTAATTTATAAATTATAAACCCATTTTCGAAAAAAAAAAAAAAAATTGACGTATTCTTTCAATTCTCCCGATGACCCGAGCCTATTTATTCGACGAATTATGTGTATACTATCGTCAGCTAATTTTAATTGTAGCCTGCTTTTTTCTGGCTCCTCGAACATTTCCCTTTCAACTTATCTTCCTCCCCATTGTTTCTCAAGCAGGCAGCCTTTTATGCAGAACGTGAAAAACTGTCTACATATCATCTTATCCCAGTTTCAGCGGTTGCGAATAAGTTTCTTGCAATTTTTTCCAACTGGGGCTCGATATGGCACGCGTCGCGGTGCATCGTAAATAGAACAAGTAGCTCTGAAAGGCAAATTTCAATTTACGCAAGCCGAGCGCCCGGCTGAGTTCGCTGGGAAAGTGTCGAAGACACTGCAGCGTCGGCGGAATTAATTGCGGACGTAAGAATAGCCGTCGATGAACGCAAGAAGGCGAAAAAATTTAATAGCTGGCCGGGGATGACCGAGCGAAAGAGTATCTCGTTCATTAGTGGACATCGATGAGGCAGAATAATCGTCTACGTGAATCATTACTCTTTCAAATAATTCCTATGCGTCTTACTGTTATAATTATCTAAAATTGTTTTAATTGACTGCTTGAAATATCGAATTTAGACGTTTGTTATTCGTTTAATTGGATACAAAATTCTACCCTGAATATTTACTTTTTTCCCCGGTCAAGTAATTCGGTTAAGAAGTTCGATCCGTTTCTTGATTCGGTGCCTGGTCGGAATCGTCCACCCCGATGTCTTCTCAGGTAAATCCGTTAAAATCTAGTTTCTTGATCAAAGCAAACATCGAACGGATGGAAAGTTTGTATTAAATCGCTTCTGCCTTGATCTTTTCTGAGTTTTATGAAGTTAATATAAACTAATCAAAGTTCGGTGCCTTGACATTTGTTAAAATATCCGGTATTTTGTATTCGTTTATTATTGTGTTTCGCGTTTGACAATTTAAGAGCTAAAAAAGAATTACGGCAAGAACTGAGGAGAGATTACTAAATAGAATTAAGCAGACTAATTAGAAAATTAAAAGTGCGACTTTATGTCGCAATTATACATGACTACCCTCTAGAATATATTGTCATCGAAGTAAGAAATAGAACGCAAACCGCTGTCTTACGTTGTGTAGGGTTGTGTCCCTTAAATGTTTTGCCGAAGAGTAATCGAGAGAAATGTTGAAGAAAATTGTATACGACCTTTTTTGCTAGTAATAGCAGTATCTACAACTTTTATTTGAAGCAGTTTTTGAAATTTTCACCAAAAAAAATTTTTCAATTTTTTCGAGATTTTTCAAGGAGTACCCCTTCAGATTTCGCGAAATTTTCGTTTTTTGCCAATAACTCCCAAACCGTTGGCCCTACAGGAAAATTGCATGAGACCTTTCTTGTAGAGGACGACGAGATCTACAATTTCCATATAAAATCATTTCGCTAGCGTGAATAGTTCACGAGGAATTTGCGAAAAACTGTTTTTTCGTTTTTCGTCAATAACTCGTAAACTATTGATGCTAGTGAAAAGTTTTTATACAGAAATTATAGATCTCGTCGCCCTCTACAAGAAAGGTCCTATGCAATTTTCCCGTACGACCAACGGTTTAGCAGTAATTGAGGAAAAACGAAATTTTTTGCGAAAAGTTTGCTGTTTCGACGGTGGAATGGCCGGATTTCGTCAATGCCAATAAAATGCCGATTAATCGTACTTAACTCATTAAATACTAGAATTAGAAGAAAGAATCATAAAATCTGTCTTGTAGAGGACGTTAGTGCCTGTAACTTCTGTATAAAATTTTTTTCACTTGCGTCAATACTTACTAAATAAAATTGTTTATTGCAAAAACTGTTTCTTTGTCCAAGCGAAAAATGTTTCAAACAAAAGTTGTGTCTCTAGCTATTAGCTACAAATGTTATCGACTGTGTTTTGAATCCCACTGGGCTCCATTCACTGTCTCGATTACATGGGCGCTGCCACTCTAATAGTATCTCCTCGGTGGTATTAGTTTTGCATTGGAAAAATTGCTAGATAGTTATGGAAGAAGCAGTTTAAACAATATATTTTTACTGTTCCTCGGAGATATGTTATTTCAATTTTATCATAATTGAGTTTTAGAAACAGTAATTTTCAAATAATAACAAGAATTAATACGTTCAGTTAAGTAATAAATTCAGTAAGTCAGGTGTATCTCGAATATCGAAGAAATTAGTATACTTGTCCATTATTTAGATAATTATGTTCGTTTTCGTGTATCAAATTACAAATTACGCTAGCGCATACAAGCATCAAGTACAACGTGTCGGCTAGAAAATTGTGCAATGAAAATTACTGCGTTTAACAGCACGGATCGTAGAAATAGTTCCACAGATTCATAACGGCGACGATTCGTGCAAGTTACGGAGGAGGTCGTCAAAAAGGGTTAAGTAGCCTCGCGTCAGCCAAATAGGTCAGCGAAGTACATCTGTCTGCTGCAGATTATACAATACCATTGTTTCGTATCTCGCCTAATGACTCAATTTCCGAGCTTCATCTGTAGAAATTTCGAAGAGAAACTGTTGAATCCTCTTTTTAACAGTCGGAGAAATTTCGCAGTATAATTAGCAGCATTGGGTATTTTCCTCAGCTTCAATAATTATTTTCCTTTGTAAAATCAAATTCCTTCACGCGTGCGCTTTTTAACGTTATTAATTAATTTCGAGCTAGGAAAGAACTGCAACTAAATTACACTGTGTTAACTTTAAGAAGTAGGAAATAACTTAAAATGATTTATAGTTTTTTTTAAATTGTTTAAAAGATAATGCTATTGTATAGTAAACGGGGATAGGTAATTAGAAAAGAGATGCGATGCGGTATGTACTAATAATTTGATTTGGTACACGACGTACCGTAAGGTTTCTCGAATTGAATTGACGAGTATAAAGTTACGCTCTAATTCTCAATTTCAATTTATACTGAGCGTCGAACTTAACTTTTGTGTGTGCTCAATGATTAGTTATCGCAAACTAACATTATTTAACTCTGTCTGATGTTCCCTTATCGAATGTTTCGTAAGTAATTTAGAGCGAAAAATGTACGTTCCGATAGTGTGAGATCAATAAAAAATACGTAAGAGCTAAAGTAAACAAATGGAACTGATATAGAGACAAAATTAACTTAAAGAGAATATCTGAAAGGTTTAGAAATTATAGGAAGTAATTATTATCCGTTGATTGAATACCTTGGCGTGTGTTCTCTTATAAGTTTGAAGATCTTCGTCCATATAAATGAGCAATTTACGAAATAATTAAGGGAAACGGTTTAAAAATAAATACGGTGGTTGATGGACGCGAGTTATCTGATGTACCACCCTTATTAGCCTGGCTAGGAATTTCGATTTCAAACACAGATAAAACGTAGATGGTGTGCATGCAGACCAGTTCACTAACGTGACCGACGTAACGTTAGCGTAGCATTAACGTCACCGCGAAGGGGAACGATGCTTAAATAAACTCTTCGATCACGTAAATGTGCCTAAAAAAGAATCGTGTTGCTTGTCTGGTTGCGCGTTGCCATCGGGTTTCTTTCATGAAATCCCGTCGAGGGGTAGAAAGAAAATTGAGGCACGCGTACATACGGTCAGAAATATTTTTCAAGTACGAAGCATTCGGAAGTTTGTACGCGGACAAAAGCGTGACGGTAATTGCACCTGAAACTGGGTTGCGTTCAGTAGATAAAATCAATGACAAACGATGCGACGCGGACGTTTCGTTCATCGAATTCCGGGATCGGCCGCGACTTTTCGGAATCCTTGAATATTCATCATCCGTCGAGACTCGGATTTCTTCTATTTCCGAGCTCCACAGTTCTGGCCGATAAATTTTTCTGCTAAATTACCCTCCAATTCTTGTCAGTAGAATTACTTCGATCGCGTCGCACCGACTCGCGACAAGAATTACACCTTCGTTAAAATTAGGTGAAAAAGAAATAGTAAAAAAACTAGTCTGTAGTGATTATCCACACATTGCATGGAATAATTATTCTTTCAACGAGTTGCTGGTATTTAATTAATCTCTGGCATTATTAATCCATGTATCCAGGATCTTGTATAGGAGAAAGGGGCGAATAGTAGTGAAACGTTTATAATACATTTAAGAACAATGGATGTATATTTCTTCACACGGTACATATATGTCACATAGTATCATCTAGCGCGTAGAATCGGTTCTCATTCGTCTCGACGATGAACGGTACAGTGGTCAGTATTGAATTCAGATTAGCTTCTCTAGTACAGCATCGGTATCTTAATTTAATAAAGGTAAGCCGTACAAATCCTACTGTAAATCGAATCGACGGTCCCGTATCACGCTGATGCATGTCTCGTTATTCTACATACAATTACCTTTCCCTCTTTTATTATATAGTGGCGTAGTTTACGTTATTAATACCTACGTTTCCTCAGGATAAGAACTTACTCTAAGTAGTGATCACACTGACGATTTCTGATTAACTCATGATTTGCGAAGAGATAAAAAGAATTTTTTCAAATAAATTTCGGCGTAATAAACTCTCAGTCCTCCCTCCCGTACGATTACGTAATTGATAGCTTCCCTCGACGCTGGGGAAGCTCGGCGATAGCAATTTACATACGGGTATCGAAATACGTTTGTCATATTATAACAAAGTAACAAATACGATACAACTAAATTAATTAATAATTATAGTCTGCGCGATATTCTCGCCTTATCCCTTCACTGCTTTGCTGGCAGCACTCTGAAAATCGTAAGACTAGTTAGAAGTGACATCGCGAATTTAACTACTTTAACAGTACAAAATATATACGATCAAATCTTCTATTGTTTGAAATTAATAATACATCGTGAAATTCTAATTAGTCTAAAAAGTT